AGTTACCAAAACTTATGGGACACAGCTAAAGCTGTGTTAAGAGGAAAGTTTAAAGCTCTACAAGCATTCCTCAGGAAGGAGGAGTGAGCACACATATATAACCTAACCTCACAGCTTAAGAGCTTGGAGAAGGACCAGCAAAAGAAGCACAACCCGAACAGGATGAAGAAAATAATAAATAGGCTGTTGGAACGATAGCACAGTGGTAGGGCATTTGCTTTGCATGCAGCCAACATGGCCGACCCGAGTTTGATTCCTCCACCCCTCTCGGAGAGCCTGGCAAGCTACCGAGAGTATCTCACCCGTGGGGCAGAGCCTGGCAAGCTCCCCGTGATGTATTCGATATGTCAAACACAGTAACAACAAAGTCTCCAATAGAGACGTTACTGGGCCCACTTGAGCAAATCAAAGATCAACGGGAGGGCTTTTACTTACTTTTACTTTAATAAGCCCCCACGAATAGCTAAAGCAATTCTTGGGAAAAAGAAAATGGGAGGAATCAACTTCCCTAACTTCAAACTCTACAACAAAGCAGTAATAATTAAAACAGCATGGTACTGGGACAACGGCAGACCTGCAGACCAATGGAACAGGGTTGAATATACTGACATCTCCCCTCAATCATATGATCATCTAATCTTTGATAAAGGAGCAAGAAAGTGAAGTGGAGTAAGGAAAGCCTCTTTAACAAATTGTGCTGGCAAAACTAGAGGGCTGCATGCAAAAAAATGGGCTCAGATCTCTGCCTAATACCATGTACAAAAGTAAGATCAAAATGGATCAAAGACCTCAACATCAGACCGGAATCCATATGGTACATTGAAGACAAAGTTGGCAAAACCCTCCATCACATTGAAGCTAATGGTATCTTCAAGATGTCACGCCACTGGCTGAGTAAGTGAAAACAGAGATAGATAAATGGAACTATCTTAAACTAAGAAGTTTCTGCACCTCAAAAGAAACAGTGACCAAAATACAAAGACAGTCTACAGAATGGGAAAGGATATTCGCCGAATACACATCTGACAAGGGGTTCATATCAAGGATATATAAAGTACTGGTTGAACTCCACAAGAAGAAAACACCCAACCCCATAAAAAATGGGGCAACTAAATGAACAGAAACTTTCTCAAAGAAGAAATCCGAATGGTAAAAAGGCACATGAGAAAATGCTCTACATCATTAATCATCAGGGAGATGCAGATCAAAACCACAATGAGATACCATCTCACACCTCAGAGACTGGCCCACATCCAAAAGAACAAAAGCAACCAGTGCTGGTGCGGATGTGGCGAGAAAGAGACCCTCCTTCACTGCTGGTGGGAATGCTGACTGGTTCAGCCCTTTTGGAAAACAGTATGGACGATTCTCAAAAAATTAGAAATTGAGCTCCCATTTGACCCAGCAATACCACTCCTGGGAATATATCCCAGAGAGTCAAAAAAAGTATAGTCAAAGTGACATCTGCACTTGTTTGTTCATTGCAGCACTTTTTACAATAGCCAGAATCTGGAAAAAAACCTGAGTGCCCAAGAACAGAAGACTGGTTAAAGAAACTTTGGTACATCTGCACAATGGTGTACTGTGTAGCTGTTAGAAAAGATGAAGTTATGAAATTTACATACAAGTGGTACTACATGGAAACTATCATGCTAAGTGAATGAGTCAGAAAGAGAAAGACATAAAAATATTGCATTCATCTGGGGTACATAAAGTAACAAAATAGGAGATTAATACCCAAGAATAGCTGAGATAAGTATACCAGGAGGATTACTCCATGCCTTAGAGGCCATCCGGGCATGCTAGGGCAAAAGGGAGCTCAGATAGAGAAGGGAGCACCAAATAAAGAGTGTTTGGAGGATCCTCCCAGGATGGGAGATGCATGTTGAAAGTAGACTATAGACCGAACATGATTGCCACTCAATGCCTCTTTTGCAGATCACAACACCCAAAAGGAGAGAGAGAACAAAGGGGAATGCCCTGTCACAGAGGCAGGGTGGGATGGGGGGGATGTGGGTGAGAGGGATACTGGAATTCATGGTGATGGAAAATGGGCACTGGTGGAGGGATGCGTATTTGATCATTGTATAATCTAAACGCAAGCACAAAAATGTGTAAGTCTACAACTGTACCTCTTTGTGTTTCACCAATAAAAATTTTTAAAAAAGAAAGTAATACAGAGTGTTAATGAAACCAGGAACTGCTTCTTAGAACTGCAGAATGTGCACGGAGTGTCCTCGAAATCATGCTCACCCTGCATTGCAGGTAACATGCTCAGGAATTCTGTTTTTGTACTCTCCCTCATGATGCCTGCAAATGTCCCATGTCCTGACAGGTAGTCTATAAAACTGATCTCTTACTGTTGTTCTGGGCCCAGTCTCTAAAGCAATAAGTCAATTTGATCTGCAGTGTGAATACATTCTGTTTCTAAGGCTTGGTGAGTGAGCTTTTGGTTCTTCCCAGTCAGATCCAGCTGCTTCCCACAACAAGTCATTGCTTCCACTAGGATTCCTGGGAACTTTAGTTGGGTTGGACATACACAACATTAGCAGAAGCCCAGTTGTGCTCAAGAAATTTACCTTTGTGAGCAGCCACGAAGAAGTTTGCTCAGGACCAGCGGCTAACACTGGTTGGACTGAGGTCCTTTCTTTGACTCAACTTAACTGAGGAGAGCAGTGAAACAAGGTTCACAGCACAGCTCCCAGGATCTGATAGTTCCCACTCTCCTGATTGGGCTTTCTATAAGTCTGGGATTTTCAGTGAATGTTTTTGATTTTGTCTGAAAGGGTAAATTAATTTCAGATGCTGATTTTGAATATTGTACGAATGCCCAGAGAACATGGGGTCTGAGGTCTGCTTTAAATAAACCTACTGCCCAGCTGTTGATGGCATCAGCTATTTTTACTTTGATTCCTTTTCCCTTCTGACCATATCTGTCTTCTCTTGAGGCAGAGAAGAGAAGGGAAACCATTTTTTAGTCATGAATATCTTTTTCTCTGGTAAGGAGTTTAGACTTCATTCTGGAGAGATGGGCAGTTATTACAGGGCTTTCAGCTATCTGTGTTACCTGATGGTAAATGCATTGTAGTATATTATTATGTCCATTATGTTGAGGGTGGATGATAAGGGTAAAGACTTGAAACAAAGAAACCATTGAGACATTGTGACAATAATACAAGCCAGAGATGTTGAGTGCCTGAACTCACCAGGAGTGATCCCTGAGTGAATTCCTACATGAAAGCTCTATTACTAAAGCACATCCTGGAGTTCAATCTAAGTTGTTTTAATTCACTACCTTTATGGTGATTTGTTAACAACAATAGCACTGTAACACTGTCCTCCCATTGTTCATCGATTTGCTCAAGCGGGCACCAGTAATGTCTCCGTTGTGAGACTTGTGACTGTTTTTAGCACATCAAATACACCACGGGGAGCTTGCCAGGCTCTGCCATGCGAGCGGGATACTCTCGGTAGCTTGCTGGGCTCTCCGAGAGGGAAGGAGGAATCGAACCTGGGTTGGCCGCGTGCACGGCAAACATCCTACCTACTGTATTATCGCTGGCTGGAGCAATAGCACAGCGGGTTAACAACAATAGGAGACAAAACTTCTACAAGTAACTGAGTAACTGAGGCCCTGTGTTTCAAGCAAACTCCTCAGACTAAGACATGCAAACTGGGTGTGGAGGGTGGGGGACAAAGATGATATATGAGGCCTGAATCTTTGTCAGATTTTACTATAGGGGACTCCTACAGTGGCCTGTGGTTCTGCTGTTTATTGGATTCTGTGTCACTGCTGAGGTGCTGGCCCAGGTGAGAGAGGGTAATGGGTGTAGACTACTGGGCTAGGAAGAGCAAGGCAGCTTCCAGAAAAACCATGTGCTTCACACATGGGGATGAATAGCCACCTTGTTCCAAGATCTTGCACCTCCTACCATCTCAGAAATGTACATGGTTTCTGCCCAGACAGTAGCCATATTGATTCCCTCCTGCACTTCTTAATTCAACTAAATCCTGAGAAGTTCACCCAAGTAGTGACTATTTCTCATCCTTCAAACATGTCTGTCGATACATTGAAGGTGCTTCGGTTGGGTGGTTATGGAAGGAGAGTAATGGAAGATTGAAGACTTGTTTGGGAAAGCCCCTGGGGGTGGGGTGTTTCAGAATGCAGAGCTGATCTTCTTTCCATTGAGCTAAAACTTTAAAATGGTCTCCTTGTTTGACTATTCATTGTACAATATCATGTAACAAACCCTGTTCTTCTAGGGTAATAGACCTACATATTAATGTGCTCTCCCAAATGTAAGCCAATGACTGAATGAATGATCCTGCCCAGACCCAAGTCAGTTGCCACTAATGTGATACATGAAGCATTGGGAACAGATCTCAGGATATGGTAGGAGGTGTTTCAGAAAACCATTGCTTATGTATACCCTTTCCCTACTCTTTCCAAACAGGGAAAGAGGCACCCAACAAACTCAGGATTTAAAACTTATGCAGCTCTGGCGATGGTCAGATATTCATCTAATGACTTTACATTAAAGTTGTTTCATATATGAATAAAATTCACATCTATGTGATGGAAAGAAATGAGGAATTTGTGGCATCAGTGAAATATTCAGCCTGGGTCATGTAGGAATGGGTGATAATTGGGTCATAATAGAAATTTTGGGTCATATTAAGAATGCTGGTTCATACATATTGGGAATGCTGGGATCTGAATTTACTTTGCCTCAATGTCCATAATCTTAAGAACTATGCTGAAGCTTTTCTCCAAAACTGCACTGATATATATCCTCTATCAACATTGACAATTTTTAAATAAAATTAAAATTTTGGTTCCTCAAGAATCCTTGTCACCTCTAAGTGCTTTATAGTCACTTGACACTAGTGGTTGCTACTCTGAACAGTGCATATGTATTTCCATCATCTCATAAATTCTGCTAGACAATGCACTTCTAAAAAAGATTATCAGCAAGAATGAGATTGCACACATATTCTTGAAACCACAGAGGATTTAATGGCCTTTGTTAACTTCAGTAACAGAAAAACAAGTACACCATTTCGTGTTATTTCTACTCTGAGATAAACAACTTTATCCTCTTATTCATTTATTCCACACCCACAACTGAGCACCTACAATGTTCCAGGGCCTATCTTAGATTTTGAGCATACAAATATAAATAAGGGAACAGGGATCCTTAGCACCCCCTCTACCTCCCCGGAGCTCACAATCCAATGGAGGAGAAAAATTCAATTATAACTCCATGAAGGGAGGGTTATGATAAGTGTCCTTAGAAATAATATGAGTTTGATGGGCCAAAGAAATAGTACAGTGGATAGGGGTTTGCCTTACCTGCGGCTGACTCAGGTTCTATCCCCAGCATCCCTATCATCTCCTGAGTCCTGACAGGAGTGATTTCTGAGTGTAGAGTCAGGAGTAACTCCTGAACAACACTGAGTATGATCCAAAAATAAAAAAAAAAAAGAGTGAGTTTGACAAAACACTACTGAATCTTGGGCATTAGGGAAGGCTTCTGGGGTGGAAGGTGATTCAAACTTAGTGTAAAAAGATGAACAGGAATTGGACAACTTTCAAAACTGAAAGGCAGCATGGAAAAATAAGTTTCCCAGGGACCTTTAGTGAGTGGGTCTGAGTGAATAATAGGGTGTAGCAGAGAGTAGGGATGTGATTGTAACAGAATTCAGGTGTTCTGGGGTGCTATGCTGAGGAGTAGTCAATACAGAGGAGGGGAGAAAGTAAAGAGAACATGTCATTTGGGACTGGTGTGGTGTTGTGTAGAGTGACCAAGTGGGAGCTCAAAGTAGATAAGAAATAGAAGAGTCATCACTTGAACATGCCAACTGGTTCCCTGAAAGAATGCTGGTGATATTTCTAAGCCTGTGGTGTGGGGACATGGAAGAATCATCAGACTTTCTGTAAAACTTCTAGGGAAAGTAATTTTCTCAAAGAAAACCCTGTGTACATGGCATATTTGCAGAATTTTGAGCCATTTGATGGGATTTAGAAGTAGATAATGAGGGCAACCAGAGTGATAGTAACAGTGAGTAGAGTGTTTGCCTTGCACATACGCGATTTCGATCCTCAGCATCCCATATGGTCCCCTGAGCACTGCTAGGAGTAATTCCTAAATGCAGAGCCAGGAGTAACCACTGAACATCACTGGGTAAAATCCAAAAAGAAAAAAATGTAGACAATGAGTTACTCTGAAGACGAAAGGGTGGGGATGAATGAAATAACATTTGGGAGGAGAGAAATAATATGATGGGACCACTTGACTTCCAAATATTAGCTAGGACTTTGGGGTGAAGCACTGAACTAGGAGATAAGGATTTGTGACACCCCAAAATGAAAATCTCTTCTCCAGGATCTGCTGGAATATTGGTGAGGAGTTTGGCATTCTAGAAGACAGGGAGGCAACAAGATAACTAGCCTAATTGATCACCAAGGCCCTTGCTCTTGGCTGGGAACCTCAGTAGTGTACTATTACATGGGGGTAAAATGGCCATATCACCATAGCAAGTCCCAACCTAGGGGTGCAGAGCTCATATTAGAAGTTCTATTATTAAGTTATTTTTGAGAGGAAGAGCAGAGGCCCAAGAGAATGGACAGGGTAAGAAATTAAGCAAGGGAAGTAATTATCTATTACTAAGGATATAGATTCACTAATGAAATCCAACTCAGAAAGATAACCAGGCATATGTAATAATTTTTTAAACCCCAGGTCAATCCAGTTGTACTGTGGCTATCAGATATATGTGTACTAAGTTTCCCTCTCAGCCACACCCCAATAAGACTTCTTCAATCCTACAGAACCAAAAGAATCTCAGATATTGCATCACAAGGTTTATGAGATCAGAATGTGAGAGATTCTCTCTGTGTTCTAGAAGTACTTTCAGAATTTTATTTGAAAGACCAAGCTGGTCTGGAGGACTTGGAACTTAGACTTAAAACTGAGGCCTCAACTACTCAACTATTTGGGTAAAGCCCGGCTTTTTTTTTTTCTTTTTGGGTCACACCCGGCAATGCACAGGGGTTTACTCCTGGCTCTGCACTCAGGAATTACTCCTGGTGGTGCTCAGGGAACCATATGGAATGCTGGGAATTGAACCCGGGTCAGTCGCATGCAAGGCAAACACCCTACCCGCTGTGCTATCGCTCTAGCCCAAAGCCTGACATTTTGGCAAATTAAACTTTGGAAGGATTTCATTCTGTGAGTAGAATCTCCACAACCCGAACTGTAGCTAACCTAGGAGACTGGATAGCCTATTCTAACCAGTCACCCCCCTGAGTATTTCAGATCATTGGTGAGACCAAAGCTCCAGCGACATCTGCATCTCATATAAGGTGAGTGACCACCTAAGCCTCCAAGCACCTTCGCCTAACACAGCTGTCCTCTCCTCCATGACACCCCATCCCTGAACACATACACACACACATCACACACCAGACATATGCTCGTCTCTGTATCTGGTTCTGCTTAGAGTTTAGCAGCACATTAATTATTCCACTGGGCTTTATTTCTTCAGTTTGCCATCCCACTTATGTAATGAGCGTCTTTATCCCTGGAGCTTGTCATCCAATAAACAATTAGAGATCATCTGAGCTGGACTGGTATGGAGTTCAGTTAAACAAAACTGAGTTGAAATGAAATAAAATGACACAGAGCTGTAGACTCTCAATGCAACATGACTGAGGGTTCCCTTGAAGTCCTCATCAAGAAACCTGCTACCTTCGCTATCTCTCCCCAGCTTCCCAGCGATGCTGCCTCTCCCCCCATCATGCAGGTCCTTATTGCTTCTTATGGAACAGAGCTGGAGCTGGTTCATTGTTGGGCTCAGCCAAAACCTGCATAGGCTGGTTATTCAGGGCAGCCTCACGCATCTTGTGGTACATGAACTCATTCTGGCGAAACATGCGCAGCTCCATTTCTGTCTGCACCCGCATGGCCTGTGGGATACAAAGGAAAGGTCATGAATGCCAAGCCTCCATGACATGTTGGTGATATTCTGTCATCCTTTACAATAGGATGTATTGTAAAGGGGACTAGAGTGATAGTGCAGTGGATAGGGCGCTTGTCTTGTACATAGCCAACCCAGGTTTGATCTTTGGCACCCCATATGGTCCCCTGAACCCTTCCAAGAGTGATACCTGAGTGCAGAGCCAGAAGTAAGCCCTGAACACAATGGGGTGTATCCCTCTCTCCAAAATAAAATAGGCCTAAAAGATGAAAGTGTGGCAAATATGGGGTAGGGGGAAGTGGGAAGGGAAATCCTCTTCTTCCACCAGAAATATTTATCAAGGACAGGCACATTGAGGGCCTAAGGATACAGCAAACATTCTGCTTTTGATTCTAGCTTAGTCACTAGGTGTAAATCAAGTTCAGTTCTCATTCTCAGAGAGCTCAGATCAAGCAGGGCAGCCCAGTCCCAAGACGTTACTTGCCTCTAAGTCCTTGGTGATTGGGTGTGAAGGTCCATGTGTAACCAGGAGAATAGCATAGGCTTTGCAGATCATCCCATGCCCTGCCTCAATATTCCCAGCATGCCAGTTGGTCAGTCCTGCCCGCATCACTGCCATGCCTAACTGGGCATTATTAGGGTGGTAGAGTTTCCTGTGGAGCAGAGTAAATAATCTCATTATAATTCTAACTTTCTTTTAGCTGTGTAGCACTTGACAACATATAATGTGCCCTCAGTGATAAAATTTACCTCTTCCTCCCTTAACCACAGTGACATAGGCAGTTGCATTGGAGGACTAAAGTGCGGGAAGAGGGGTGAGTGTGACTGTGAGTCCTGTTCAGTTCTCATTCTCTGAGAGCTTTGGCCTGTTCTTGAAGTATTTTCAGAATTGTATTTGAAAGATCAAGCTATACTGGTGGACTCGGAACCTAGACTTCAAACTGAGGCCTCAACTATTGAATGAATCCTGTCCTCAAAGGAAAAGAATTAGGACAGTTTTCTGAATTTGAAGACAGGAAACTAGGAGCATCCCCCTCCTTTGCCTGGAAAGGAACAGGATGTTCATGGAATAAAAATAACATGAATGTCCCAACTGGAATAGAACTATATTTTCACCAGCTTTTCATGTCCGAACAAGACTTCCTTCTTGCACTTTATACAGTTTTCCTCCATTTAGTTTGCAAGTAACATCCTCTCCAAAAACTTAACCTTCTTAAGCCAACTTGTTCCTTTGGTCAGAAGTACAAATTCACATCCATTGTGGACAAACAAGGCAAGAAAGAATATAGGCAGGAGGAAGACAAGGGAACTTCATTTTACAACTTTTAAGCAAGAATGGCCAATACCGGGCCTGGAGAGATAGGACAGTGGGTAAAGAGCTTGCATTGCATCCAGCCAACCTGGATTCAATCTCCAGCACCCCATATGGTCCCCCAGGCACTACCAGGAGCAATATCTGAGTGCAGAGCCAGGAGTACCGCTGAGCATAGCTGGGTGTGACCCTAAAACCAAGAATGACTAACACCTTTTAAAAAACAAAATGAGAAAATAAAGCTTGTAGAATTACCTGGGCTGATTGTTAAAAAGATAAACTTTTCTCAAGCATTTAAAATTAAGGTGGAATTAGTCTTAAGGAAATCAAAAGCAGAAGATGCTGCCAAGGAATAGATGAACTCAAGGATTTGGAAAAGACCAGAAATGACAAACAGCTTTCATCTTGGACAGTTGGCCAAAGGTCAGTAATCAACTCTGATTATTTGGTCAGTGCTGCTTGGAGCACCATGGTAAAATGGCTCAGTTAGAGCACCACCAGGGGTGAGAGAGCCCTCCTTTTGGTGCCCTAGCAGGGTAGCAGCATAAATGCCACCTATTGGTCATCATTGCTAAACACAAATTTCCAGCCGACTGAGACCCAGGGTCTCTACCTACATATAACCATCCACCATCCTTCTGGCGTAGTACGAGGCCTCATCAAAGGCTTGGAGGTAGGAGAGGACCTCAGAAACAATGCTCAGCATCCGTAGCATGTAGAGGTTGGTATCAGCAAACACTGGCTCCTGCTTCTCCAGGCACTCCCGGCACAGTTTCACAACCTAGGGGAGCCAAATCACCCATTACCATGGCAGCTTGTATCTACTTCATGACACTGGACACTCATGATCTTACAGGTGGGGAGCTTGCAGACAGCAGTGAGAAAGCAACTGTCATGGTTTGAGAAGCAAAATGGTCTTCTCTAGCTAAGATGTGGGGGTGGAAAAGGTAACCAACCATGGGAGTTAATAGCTGCTAGAGCAGGACAAGGAGTTTTCATATAGGTCAGTAGGTGGCAGGAACTTACAAAAGCTATCTACATAAATATATGTGGCCATATGAGGAGATATAGGTATGAGTTCAGGAATAGGTGTACCTACCATAACCACTACTCCCTTTCCACCCCGGTTGTGTTTTGGAAGAGAAACTGACATCTAGGCCATATCCCAGACCAACTGAAATCAAGTAGAGGAAAGATCCTGGCACCTATAGTTTGCATATGCCCCTGGGAAGTCTTTATGCACAGTGAGATTGTAGAGTACAAGCTAGATAGGCAGAGAAGGAGGCTCCCAGTGGGCTGGACACTCCCTCCAACCCCAACTTTATGCACACACGCACACACACACACACACACACACACACACACACATGCACAAAGGAGGACACCACATTGGCCCTGGGGAGGAATATATGGGCTTGACCTCTATTAGCTTGGAAACAGTTTTTTTACAACTGTCTCATGTGTAGGCACAGGCTTAGGTGGCTACACATTAGACAAGGTTCTAAACTGTTCAATATTTCTCTTCTTTCCTTATTGCGCTAATGGAAGAAATATCGCATAATTCTTTCCATTTCATATGAATGGAAACAAACAATGGAAATTTTCTCTGAGACCCTCTCAGAGGCAACTGAATGTGGGTGTAGCAGGAGGAGTGGCAATAAACCACCCTAAAGCTGATACCTTTAAACCCACAGCACAGTGTCTAGTCTGATACCTGACCCTGACAAGTTTTAATGTAGAAGAGGAGAATTGCAGAGGTGAGAAATCAGAGGGATGATGACTCATTCTAAACACACTTTTAAGGGGCGGAAGCAATAATACAGTGAGGAGTGCATTAGCCTTGCATGTGGCTGACCCAGGTTCGACCCCCAGCATACCATATGGTCTCCCAAGCACAACCAGGAGTAATTCCTGAGTGCAGAGCCAGGAGTAACCACTCAGCATCACCGGGTATGACCCAAAAAGAAAAATCATAATAAAAAATAAACAATAAACACACCCTTAAGAAATGCTAAATGTATAAGGGAAAAAGAGTCATGGTCTTACTCAAAGGACATTTTCTAGAAAAAAAAGTCAGCTTAGCAATCTCCTCACCCTTATCCTTTTATCTCTCTCTCTCTCTCCACCCTCCTACCAACCCCCATGCCCTATAACAAAATGAAATCTCACCTCATGGTACAAACCCTCAGAGCGAGCTTTGTCAATTTTTTCCAATGTATCCTTAGAGAATTGTATCATCTCCTTCACCACATCCTGAGAGGGCTGAGGAAGAGAACACTGAGCTGGAGATTCCTCCTGGTTCCATCTTTGAACAACTATCATATTTGATATTCAAAGTTGTGTAAGATTAACACTTTGCTCACAAATCCTAACTTTCCAGCTCCCTCATGATGTTTCTGACTCAAGTTGCATTTTTCATTGACCAAACCCCAGAACCAGCTATGTCCTCCCATCCTGTGCTTAATTTGACATCTGTGTTTTCTGTCATTTTGGAGTTTCATGCCAACAACAAAATTAGTTACTATTCTCCCTTTTTACATTAAGTCAACTACACTTGTTTCTTTGCATTTTTCACTTCACCCAGGGCATTGATTTAAATACTGGCTCAAATAGGGATATAAACAGAAAATAGTTGCTGAGGGCTTGACAAAAAAAAATTCATACATATAGAATAGCCAAGGATTGAGGGGCAGGAACAATAGTACAGAGAGTAGGACACTTGCTTTGCATCACACATTCAATCCCTGGCACTTGGAATGGCCCCCTGAACACAGAACCAGGAGTAAGACCTGAGCACAGCCATATATGGCCCAAAAGCCCAAAACAAAATAGTCAAGGGTTGAAAGAGAAAGATGCATTTAGTGGGAAATCATGTAATCTGAACATTAGCACTGACACTGAGTAATGAAGTGATTGACAGGGATCCCATCACTAAGAAGTCAATTTTGCTTATGGTATTTGTTCAAAAAAGAGACACATTCTGCCCATATGCAAGAAGCAGAAGTTAAGGTAATGTGTATATTTGTATCTTAAATGCACTGGTAAGGAATACAGAACGCTCAGTAAGTCACCCCAAAATGTTCAGGTTGATAACTCACACATGATTTTCCAGACTGGCCTTCAGCAATTATAAAGAACAACCTGGCAAGCTGGGTTTATGCCAGCCAAGGCGTGGTAGTTCTGTGAAGGAGTTGCAGTCATGGACTCTGAGGCCCCCTGTCTGGTCATGCACTTTGCAAGGTTTCATTCTAGCCTACATTTCTTTGTTCCTAGATCTCTTTATTTAAAACCTTGAACTCAAATCTTCTTTAGGAACTTTTGCCAAGGCCGTTTTAATGTGGGAAAAGGCAGAAACTGAAAAACCTTTTCTTCACTCTGATCAAAGAATCTTTCCCCCATCAAAGTCACCCCTGTAACTTGCTTTAAGCTACCATAGGATCAACTCATGTTTTGATCCACCTTATCTCGCATCACTGCACCCAGGAAATACAACAGGGGAGTCAATACTTGATCCAGTTTTAGCTTCTTACTTAGACAATTTTAGATGAAATTAAATGCTTGACCAATTTAGGCTTAGGATCCGTTCCTTTGACATTGCTTTTGATCAGTTCCTTTGACATTGGCACCTCAGCTTCTTTTCCTTGCTCAATGAAATTTCCACTTCTCAGTGGTCTTATCAACAAGGCAATAGCAACTCAGGTGTTAAGCTTATCAACCAGTGTAAACAATGCCCAATCACCACATTATCCAATTTCATGGGACTTGGAATATATTTGTGATAACCAGGCAATAAATTTTATTGCACATTTATTCTTGGTATATGCAACTTTAATAATTAATTAATATGGAAAGAACCTAGTAAAGGATCTAAATTTTACCAAGTGATTACCCTATATGCAGCTCCCTTTACTTATATAGTTATCTTTCATTCCTAGCAACCCCTTGTAGTGGGCACAATCATATCTATTTTGCAGCTGAGAAATTGTACTAATTTCCTCAAACTCTGTGGGGGATATAACAGTAGGGCTCAGTCCACAACCCCAAACTCTTCCAAAGAATTACAGATTGATCCTTTGGGAACCAATGACCATGGTGTGTTGATTCATTGTGACATGACCCTTGACTGGCTCCTGGGGAAAAAGAGCCACAAATACCCCACAGGGTTTCAGGTACCTTAGGGTCATCTTTTACCCCCAGGAAAAGGTCATCCTTCAGTCCTTTCTGGCAGTGCTCACATGTGCAGTCAAAGTAGTATTGCTTCTTTAGCTGCTTCTTGCGTTCCTCGCTGACATTAAGGAAGTCAATATATGACACTGTCAGTTCCTCTCCTTCTGAGATCTTGCCTAAGGCCCGGAGCTCAATTCTGGAGCAGAATAAAAATAAGAGTCAAAATTTGCTAACATATTTTCTATCAGGTGGGATTTGTGTTCTTCAAGGTCTCAAAGAGAAGTTGACCCTCAATCAACGATTTCACTAGAACCCTGAAAAAAGCTCCTATTCTGCTCCCTGAAAGGGGAACTGTGACCCAAAGAACAGCTTTCTGAATACTTTTGCTTTACTTATTATAGTAATCAAATCTACTTTCTCAGAAAATTACCCAGTAATAAACTTTAATAGTCTCTGGGGGCTAGTTTTTTTTTTTTTTGTAAAATAAGAAAATTGATATATTTTATTAGTAACTTTTTTTTTTACTTTTTTATTTATTTATTTATTTTTTTATTAGTGAAACACCATGAGGTACAGTTGTAGATTTACAATTTTTGTGCTTAGGTTTCAATTATACAATGATCAGATACCTATCCCCCCACCAGTGCCCATTTTCCACCACCATGGATAACGTCCCCCCCACCCCCATCCCCCCATCCCCCCCTGCCTCTGTGGCAGGGCAATCCCCTGTGTTCTCTCTCTCCTTTTGGGTGTTGTGGTCTGCAAAAGAGGCATTGAGTGGCAAACATGTTCAGTCCATAGTCCACTTTCGACATGCATCTCCCCTCCCTCCTGGGAGGGACCACCAAACACCCTTTATTTGGTGTTCCCTTCTCTATCTGAGCTGCCTCTGGGGGCTAGTTTTAATCATCAAATCATCCATAACTTCTGTACCTATAATTACTCCTATACATTTAGCTGCTGACTTGGAACAAAGGAAGAGAGAGAAAATGAGTCAAAAACTCTAGAAAAGATTCACTAGCATTTGTGGGAGTTCACAGATTGTTCAATAAGAAATATACATTCAGTTACCCGCAATCCCAATCCCAGGTAATTTCCCTCTCACCTTAACCTTTGGCTCAATAGTTGACACAATATATGAGGAGATGTGGGCCTGGTGATTATTGAGGAGGAATAAACAAAGGCTGATTTTGTTAGCTCCATTGTTCATTTTTTAATTTATTGGGGGGCATGACATTTAGATAGAATGTAGTTAGCAACAGATGATATATTGCAGGTTAGAACCTGACTCTCTACTTACTGCACTACACACCCTGTCATAAAATATATTCAGATTGTGCTGAAGACAAAATTCTACTGTAGAACTGACATTCCACTTAACCAACAAGTGGTGACCAGCCTGTAGGCCTCTTAGCCATGCATCCTTCATCCATGGGGCCAGAAGTGACAGGGAAGTGGTAAGCCCTACAAGATGGATTATAAACTGTGCTTCTGCATTGGCCCAGGATGAGTAGGAACCCATCACATGGAGGAATGGCAGAGGTAGGGCGCAAGCATCTGCAGAATGGCCTGTGGCTGTTTCTCTTACCTTTCAAGAGCCTGAATGAGACACTGTGTGGAAAGAGGACACAATTCCAGAACTGCAGAATGGATCCAGTGAAAAGCAGTTCCCTCCACTGTTTCAATAATTATGATAATATAGGTAGAGATTAAAAATAACAACTCAAGGGGTATGGTGCCACCAGCAGTTCACCTGTACTTGTGGGGCAATTATCAGCAGTCTTATGGTGCCTTCAGGCTTCCTGATACCCCAAAATTGCTGCTATGCCTTTGGACAGACCCCAACAACTTGGAACCAAGTTTACCAAGAAATTAAAGAGCCAAAAGTTAGGTGTGTAGGAGCCTTCCCCAAAAATCACCTCTGGTTCAGCTATACAAACTCATTTATGGGCCTTATTTCAGAGACCCATAAATAAATCTCGAAAAGAGATCAAAAGCCGCAACTAATCTCAGACCTGGGCATGGCTGAACAGACCAGGGTAAACTAGAGGGGGTGGGTCAGCCTGTAGCCCTCCCAAACAGAGCCCCCAGTGGCCACTTGCTTCCACAATCCAAAATCGCTGTCATACCTCCGGCCTGACTCCACTGTCTCAGGACAGACCTCATCAAGATATAATTTGCTGAAAATTTGGGTATGCGGGTTTTGTGACTTTCTCCAGGCTTTCTCAGAGTTGGAATGGGCTACCTCCTGCAACTTCCCAATTCTCCTGGAAGCATTTGTAGTCACCCCGACAAACCAACTCCAGCACTACCATGTAGGCTCTACTACCGTTCTTGCTTCAGAGACTGATAAATAAATCTTGAAAGAGATCAAAAGCCACAGTAAATCTCGAACTTGCATATGGCTGAACCGACTAGGGTAAATTGGAGTGGGTGCGGGCTGGTCTGTGTCCGCCCAAGCAGAGCCCCCAGCAGCCTCTTGCCCTAACAATCCAAAATAGCTACCATACCCCCAGTATGACTCCACCATATTAGGATGTATCTCACCAAGACACAATCTGCTGAAAATTCTGGTATGCAGGTTTTGCGACTGAAATCTCCAGGTTTTCTCCGGGTCTCGGGGTCAGGATAGGCTACCTCCCCCCACCTCCCTGTTCTTCTGGAAGCCTTGGCAGTCACATCCTCACCCCCACCCAGTTGAAAAGCTACTCCAGTCTTAACCATCCTGATAAAAATACTGAATAACCTGGACAAACACCATGACCTCTTAGCACATGTATTGCAAACCATAATGCACAAAAGGAAAAGGAGATAGACAGAGCAAGAAGGAAAGTGCCTCCTATATAGAGAGAGAATGTGGGTGGGGTGTTGGGGGATGGTATTAGAGAAACATGGTGGTGGGAAATGTACACTGATGGAGGGATGCGTGCTGGGTCATTGTATGGCTGAAACTCAGTTATGAACAGCTTTATAATGGTCTATCTCACGAATATTAAATTAAAATTTTTAAAGTAATGTAGAGTTTATGCCCACTTCAATCAGCTTAATGACTGAATAAATAACAGTACTCCTATATTTTTTAAAAATTAATAAAAAATAAAAACAACTCATATGGAGTCTTCTAAAATTTAATTTCCATCCATGTGTCCATGAGACATCTTAGACACCCCAATTTTGAGAAGTAGCTATTCTTGAAGTGACAAAACACAAGAGAGGGTGGAGGACCTGTGATTAACTCAGAGTTCTGCTTAGAATCCTAATATGTTCTACTCTCAGTGGATAAACCTCTTTGCTCCATAATGAGGATGCTGACAAGTACTTCCAAGATCCCACTTTGGAGACAAAGTTAAGATTAAGACTTAACAGGGCATTCCTATGTCACCTATATACTAGCCTCCCCTAATTGTCTTCCAGATCCTCCATGACTAATGATGTGTAAGAATACCAATGCATTGAAGTCCTTGATTTTAGAACTCAAACATACAGTCCTAAATAGCTTATGTGAGCAACTCTTGGGTTAGTATTGAGTGTGGGTCTCTTTTGCTAGGTCCTGATGGAGTAAGTAAGCAAATTTGACCTCATTAAATCCTTTTCTAAAGTGACAACTAGAGTGACTAACATCACTACAGTGACATATATCTCCTCATTCAATAAAAGCCATTTGAGTTAGAATTCCCAGTAACTAAGCTTCCCAACATCAAGGTCTCAAAATATCTTCAATTATTTCAATAGTGTTAGAAATTTTTTTCCTTATTTTATAATTTTTTTGTTGTTTTTGGGCCACACACTGCAATACTTAGGGCTTACTCATGGCTTTGGGCTCAGGGATCACTCCTAGTGGGATGCGGGAAACCACACAGAATGTCTGGGGTGGAACCCAGGTTGGTGTATGCAACACAAGAGCCTTACCCTCTGTACTATCGCTCCAGTCCAGTGTTTAAAACTTTAAAAAAATTTATTGTATTTTTAATATAAAAATGCATATGTGAATGCCCCATTTTACCTAAGTTGAAATAGAGAATCAGGATAAATATAACCACCACTCCATTCTGAACTTCAGACCTCTTCTTCCATCCCTTATACTGCAATTCTATATGTCCGGTGAGCCCTAAATATACAACTTGATTAAGTGTTTCTGGATCAAGGACAGAAGTCAGAGCCACATAAATCTAGAACAAAGAAGGTCCCTAACGATATTTTTATCTAGGACCCCACTCCCACAGGCTTTGAATTAAATGATCAGGAGATAATATGAATAAAGGCATATGCATTCACCCAAGACAGACTGTGCCAATGACTTCTACCATTCTGTTTTTAATCCAAAGAGCATTATAAGGGCTTTCAAACCCAACCCAAGAAAAATACCAGCCTATTAATTTGATTGTTACTAATAAAATTCTAAAGCATGACCTAAACCACTAATTCATAGTTGGTCAGAAGTAGTAAATAGGATATTACAAATTAATTTTTATAAAAATAAATGCAACCATTGAGAAAGCTGTTTTCATAACTCAATCTGTATAGAAATTGGGAATAGAAACTATTTTTTTTTTGCTTTTTGGGTCATACCCGGCGAATCACAGAGGATACTCCTGGCTCTTCACTCAGGAATTACTCCTGGCAGTGCTTGGGGAACCATATGGGATGATGGGAATCTAACCCAGGTCGGCCACGTGCAAGGCAAATGCCCTACCCGCTGTGCTATCACTCCAGTCCCAGAAACAGTTCTTTAAAGGGTTAATAATATTAGTTGATCAGTCTTCATTCCATTCACCTTGACTTGCATGACAGTCAAAAGCCTGTTTAAAATACGGCTGCTCAAAATTAGTGGGTACAAAGTCAGGGTTCAGAGAGATGATGTAGGTTTTGCTAAGAAAAAAACTTACCATCTAGAAAGAATGTCATGCATGAAATTGAACAAGAGGAAGAAGGAGTGGAAGAAAGAAAGCAAAGACATGGCACATGGGATGAGTGAGATACAAAACAATTAATTGAAAAGCATTAAAAAATAGTATTCAGCAAAGATGAATCTTAGAGGCATAGAAGAATTTTATGGATAGACAGCAGCCAAGAATTCTTGGAAAGGGATGACCCCAGCAAACCAGGCAAGTGAGATGGGCCAGAGAAATAGGAATACTTGAAAGGTCTGACCCACCTCATCTGGGTGTGAAACATGGTTTTCACTGCCTCATGACTGAAAGACAAAACAGACACCCAAATGAGAATCATCGCCCAACATCCAGATAATGTAAGCAAAACTTTGGTCATCACAACCACTTTGACCCCAGCCCTTCTCCCTCTGTGCTCAAAGCCAAGACACAGCCTGGCTGAGTAGGAAGTGCATTGTATTTGGAATGAGAAGTTCTAGGTTCAAAGATACGCAAACTGGTAGAAGGTATTTCCCTTTCCTAGGCCTCAAGGTTCTCATCTGTAACTTGGTAATCAGGTGTCATGATAGCACATTAAAAAGCAGAGTGCCAAAGTCAGAGATGTGACTCAGTTTACACATATAAAGCCTTGGATTTGGCATGGAGAATATACACATACAACCCCCATAAAAGTGAGCATTAAAAACTATGTGGCTGCCATTTTATCTCACTCACAAGCATCTTGGACAAATAAATATGGTCTGCTTTGATGTCAGTCTTGGAGAGAGAGTGAATGATTTCTGGAGGCTAGTTAGGTCACAAAGGTAAGTATATAAATGTCAGGGTTAGAGTTGGGCTCTCAACATCATATCCAGTGATTTTTACACTGTGGAAGACAGCTGAATGGTGACTGCAAAGTCACCCTGACTTGCATGACATCCAAGAAGCCTGGCTAAAACATGGCTGCTCAAAATTAGTGGGTACAAAGTAGCCAGAAGAAACACCAGAGATGAGCAGACATGATCTTCCCAGGTTGCTATTAAAAGAAGAGATAAGAAGATTACCACTGCTCAGGAGAGTGTTATCTAGAAAGACCAGCCCCCATACGTGACTGAATTTGATCTCCTCTGTCAACTCCGGATTATCACCCCTCTGATAAGGGGACATAAGGCTCAGAACAGTGAATCCCTAGAGGCTTAGGAAGGGAAATACAAATGGTGAGGGAAAACTATTAAGGCCCCCCAAAAACTCTATCTTGATTGATTCTTTGGTTGTTTAAGAACTTAGTTTCAAACAAACCCTTGCTTCCAAAAATAGGAAGGAAAAGTCCTCCATCATATTATTCTTGGCTGAAAATTATAAGGCAATATGGGTGAACTTGCTCATTGTTTTAACTTTTTTAATGCTTGTCCCCTTCCGTTCCTCTCCCAATGATGTCGCAATGACTGGGATTTACACATACACTTGGTGCTCACTGGGGGCTAATGTGTTGCCCACACACCTGATCACTGGACATGGGCTCCCACTCCTGGTTGACTCGTCATTTTTTTTTAATTGTGATGCTCACTCACACACACCTCATGATGCCAATCATCAGAGAGCAGAGCTGCCTGGGCTTCACTGGATATGTGCAGCAGCACTAGGAGTAGAACTTGCAGCATCATGCTTGCAAGCCAGGTGCTGTAGCCACTAAGCCATCTCCAGGCTCTCTAAACATGCAGATTTCTTATAACTCAGAATTAACTTGCATCTGTCATAAGAGCTCATCTCCAAGAGTAAAAGAAATGGTATTGCTATGCCTCATCTCCCTAAACCCCAGCCAAACTCAAGACAAGAAGCTCAACCTGTTTGCTAACTTTTCTCAATCTACCGTACCACCCCCAATACCCATCATTTACCTGATCAGGACCTATCAAGGAGGGATGGGGAACTGACATCTCAGGTCTTCATCACCCAGGTTCTTTTGCTGTATTGCTTTGGGTTGGAGTTTGGCCAGTGGGAGAAAAATCAGAACTTAGAAGTAGAGAGGCTGGGAAATTTCATCTAATGGTTCTAGCAGAGGTTTATTTTGCTATAGACACAGTCATTCTGTTGAGTGTGGTGAAGGGAAGGTTCCCCTGCCATGGTTCTAGCTCGCTAAGCTTCAAGAATAGTAACTTTTGGAGGGGTGGGATGAGGGGGGGAGGGATACTGGGGACATTGGTGGTAGAAGATGCACACTGGTGGAGGGACGGGCGTTCAATCATTCTATGACTGAAACTCAAACATGAAAGTTTTGTAACTGTAGTTAACAGTGATTTTTAAAAATAGTAAATTTTCCACATGCTCCTCTAGGTCTAGAGGTGATTGTGGTTTTGTTACTACTGGAAGTTGTCCTTCTATTAAATTCTCTTCTGGTAAACCCTGAATTATTCTTCTTATTTCTGCTGTAGTCTTGAATTCTATATACTTCTTCCCAGTACCTTCTCAACTCATGATGTTCTATAATGATCTCTAGATTAATAATCCCAGGGTTTCAATTGTATACAGGGTAATTAAAGGTTTATCTACAATATTTGTAGATGTTGTTTATGTACCATATTTGTCAGACTCAATAACATGCTCAGAAATTATTCACATGGAATTCATTGTCATCTTCATCACTACCTTTCTCCCATCTATAAGTAATCTAGAATGATTTATATTTGCTGCTCATGCGAAATCCATGCCGCTCATGTGAAATCCATGCCAGTTCAGTTTTGGCAGACAGTCTTTGGTTTAAGTCAAGGGTAGAAAAGACTGTGTCTCCCCATCACATCACACCACCTTTGGTTAAAGACATACTTACTTGCCATTGTTAAATATGACAGTGCAGTTGGGCCAACAGTCGTGGTTCACCAGACCCAAGTTGGGGAAGATGCCCACACCCACTGCCTGCAGGCCTCTCTGGTCACTGAGGGTGAAACCATTGCAGTTAATCTGCTCACAGGGAAAAAAGAAAAGAATCAGCTAAGAGACTTTATCTAAGGACAAAATACAATACTAGTTACAGAAAGTTCAAAATAATATCAATTGAAGACTCCTCATTTTAGCAATATTTAGAGTTAGTTAACAAAATAATTCATTCTTTATTTCTGACATGAGATGAGCATACCATGAGAGAGTCACATATTTGCAAAAACTGCAATTTTACTTTGAAATTTTATATGCATACATTCAAAGGGTTATTTGTTGGGGTGGTAGGAGGGATACTGGGGACATTGGTGCTGGGAAATGTATACTGGTAGAGGGACGGGTGTTCGATCATTGTATGACTGAAATTCAATCATGAAATCTTTGTAACTATCTCATGGTTTTCAGTCTTCGGCTGCCAGGGCCCTGGGCAGGCTGGGGAGGAAAGCTCAATCCGCTCCCCTCCAAGGGGCCCCAGCGAGGAATAGCCAGGCGCGGGGGCAGGAGACTGCACTGTTCTCCTCCGGGAACTGGTTTTTATAGTCTCTGAGTCTTGGCCGCTGATGGGATTACACAGCGCCAGGGGGCCAGTTGATGGGTGTGACCCCCGCCTACTGGAATTTGGAGGATCTGGGTGGAGGATGCTCAACTCCAATCCGAGTAGGCTTGGAGATCTCGGCCCCGGAACCCACGTGACTTTGTCCCTCTGCCGGTACCTTCAGGTGTGTGGAGAGTGGTCTCAGCATGGTGGTGGCTGGTCCTGGAGGTCTTTGGCTGCTCCCGGAGGAGAACAGTGCAGTCTCCTGCCCCCGTGCCTGGCTATTCCTCACCGGGGCCCCTTGGAGGGGAGCGGGTTGAGCTTTCCTCCCCGCCCTGACCAGGGCCCTGGCAGCCGAAGACCTCCAGGACCAGTCACCACCATGCTGAGACCACTCTCCGCACACCTGAAGGTACCAGCAGAGGGACAAAGCCACGTGGGTTCCGGGGCCGAGATCTCCAAGCCTACTCAGATTGGGGTCGAGCATCCTCCACCCAGATCCTCCAAATTCCAGTAGGCGGGGGTCACACCCACCAACTGGCCCCCTGGCACCGTGTAATCCCATCAGCGGCCAAGACTCAGAGACTATAAAAACCAGCTCCTGGAACCGCGTGGCTGCAAATGCGGCCGCGCGACATCTTATCAGGACATCTCATTCCTACTTTGACAACTTGCAGGCTACCGAATGTAGACTGCCCACAAGACAGAGTCTGGCAAACTCCCTGTGGTGTACCCAATATGCCAAATACCAGTAACAATGATGGGTCTCATTCTCCTAAAGAGCCTTGAATATAATCTCAGGGCTAGGATGAATGAAGGAGACGTTACTGGGGCCTGCTCGAGGCAATCGACGAATAACAGTATGATTTGTGATTTGTTTGTGATCTCATGGTTATTCAATAAAAAGGGGGGGCGCTATTTGTTAAAGATTCTAGAGGGGTAACATTTTCCATTCAATCTCATCAGCCACTCAGCAAGTTATGCCTGCCCCTATCACTAACATGCTGGGGTGCCTTGAACAAATTCTTTCTCTGAGGCCTGGTTTTCCTATTTGTAGTTTGGTAACTTGACTTAGGTGGTGCTTAAATAGTCCTTTCAACTCAATGCTTTGTTGAATAAGTTGAATAAGCTTTGTGTAACTGCAATCCCCAGGACTCGTAAGGGATACTCAGGATTGGTCTATGACACCCATTCACCCTAAGTCTGAAACATGGGGTTTTGTTTTGGGCCCATATCTAGCAATGCTCAGGAGTTCTTGTTCTACGCTCAGGATTTAAGTCCTGGCAGAGTTTGATGAACCAAATGAAATGCCATGAGTCAAGCACAGGTCGGTCGCATGCAAGGCAAGCACAATACACACTGTACAATCCCTCTAGCCCCCAAAACATAACTCCTTAGAAGAGCAACTCAGGTACCAGACAGAACGTTTCTGATCCTTCCACAGACACCAGCTCACAGTATGTCCTTCAGAAATGACAGAACTTCTCTGATAGACTGCCTTTTTATAAAGGAATGTTTTGACTCTGTCAGTAGAAACGTTAAATAATATAAGCTTCATCTTGTAAAGGATGTGTCAAATATTCCATGGGAAGTTAATAATAGTCAATTTTGTGTATCAGTTTGGCAGAGTTGCAGTGCCCAGATATGTGGCAGTATTATTATTTATGTTTTTGTGACAGTTTTATGTGTGTGTGAGATTAACATTTAAATGAGTGGTTTTTAAGTAAATTAGATTTGTTTTCATAATGTCGTGGGTCTCTCCAATAGCTGAAGGTCTTAATAGAAACCGACCTCTTCTAAGCAACAAAGAATTTTGCAGATAGCCTTTGAACTTAAACTAAAACTACCATCAGTCTCTAGTGTCTGGGAAGATTTTGGAATTAACGTTTCTTCACAATATTAAAAACCAATTTGTTAAATCTGTCAACTAATAAGCCTGTCTCCCTGTCTGTCTAGCTAGGTAGAGATAGAGATACACATACATTCTACTAGTGTTACAAAATCACTATTACAAAATTAAGAAATCACTATTTTGTAATTTTTACACTATTACAAAATCACTTGCACATGGTGAGGATTTGAGAGCTGTTGAGCATATTAGTGCCAAAGTCATCATGACAATAACCCTCCATACAGACCACTCACCATTAGGTGGCTGAGACTACTCAACCTTATGCCTGAGCCTGCGGTTCCACCAGGCTCCTACTTCCACCTCCTGAACTCTCCTGGTCAGGAGTGGTCTGACTTTGTGGACCAATGGCAGCATCCGCCAAAAAGTCTTTAATCTCCTCTCCCTGACTACCCGCTCTCTACTCCAGACTCTGTTATCCAGCCTACCACATCTGGGGAAAGGGAGAGCCTTATTTCTAAAGTAACCAGTGAGCAGAAGGCATAGTGATATGGTTTTCGTTTTTAACACGGAAAAAAAGTTCAGAAGTCACAGGTAAACAAGAAGGTATTTACTACCTTACTACCACTGAGGGATAAGAATAGGGTGTGGGGGGTGATAGTCCAGAGAGTAGCATTTTTCTTGTAGATGGCTGACGAGGGTTTGATTCCCCGGTGGCCCACATGGTCCCCCAAGTCCACCAGAAGTAATTCCTGAGAGTGAAGTCAGGACTTATCTTTGAGCATTGCCACATGTGACCCAATTGGCAAAACATATAAAAATACAAAAAAATTAAAAACAGGGTCTCTGGGGAAAGCCAATTCCCAGTGGCAGCTGAAATGATCTCACAATAAACAAAACCAGTAAGAAAGAGAATGGGATGATGATTCTTCATTTTGAACCTCTGTCCCCTCCTCTAGTCCTCACTCTGGACTAAAACTTCTTAGTTGGCACACCAGTTTTGCAACCTCCCTCCCCTGCCACATGTACCCCTACCCCTGCATCCATTCTCACACACACACACATAGAGTTTAGGAGTTATCCTACCACTCCAAAGATGTGTGATATATACTGCATGCTGAACTGTTGGCTCTGGGGTGGCCAGTACTGCAAGAAAGCATCCACGTCTACTCGTAGCTCCTTCTGCTCCTCCTCCCCAAAGTGTTCCACATGGTTCTGCAGATCATCCACGGAAACCAGGCAGCCTTCTGTGAGCCCAGTGCCCTCTCTCTCCACGCGCCACATGATGCGTGCAGCCAGCCTGTGGAGAGCAGAGGGTGATGGAGGCCACATCTCATTCTTTCATTCAGCACACAGTGAGTGTCAGTCACAGTGTTGAGCCCAAGACAGGGTTCTTAATTTAATGGATAGAACTTCTATTTTGAAGCTTCTTATAGAGGGGAAAATGTAGGTTAAAGGATGATTTAAACTAGTGTTAAGTGCAGAAAATAAGTTAAGCACCCTAGCTGAGAGTAGTTAGGGAGTGGAAACTGAGGAAATCATGGTAGTTGCACAAGGGAGAAGCATTTAAGCTAGAAGTGCAATGAACAGAAGAAGCCAGGTCTGTCAGCTGAGGAAAGCACAGGGAGCACAGTTTGTAAAGAATGAATGAGCTACACAAAGGAGAGACAGCAAGAAGAGCAAGGTGGTTAGGGCGCTGGGAATTGGAAATGGGAGCTAAAAAAAGTGGGCAGGAACCAGATCACCTGGGGACTAGGAAGCCAAATAAGAGGCCCAAGGACACAATAAATAAGGCAGCCTCAGTCTTTTCCAGCAGTGGGGCTGAGAAGGGCACTAGAGAAGGAAGCAAACAACTTCGGTTCAAATCTACGTATGTCTTATTATTTGACCCTAGGAAGGTCAAATTAACGTGAGGATAACATACAATCCCTGGCATGCTAAACTTCAGAGATGTTTGGGGGACCATGCAGTGCTGGGGATCAAACCTGTACTTTTGGAGAGCTCAGTCCATTGAGCTCTCTCTCTCCACCTTGCTCCAGAAGTATTTGGAAGTCAAGGTGAAGTAATGGACTTCCACATAGTGTATGAACTTATAGGTACTCTTCACGGTCACGGTCACGATCCTGTAGCACTGTCCTCCTGTTGTTCATCGATTTGCTCAAGCGGGCCCAGTAATGTCCCCATTGTGAGACTTGATGTTACTGTTTTTGGCATATCGAATACGTCACGGGTAGCTTGCCAGGCTTTGCCGTGCAGGTGAGATATTCTCAGTAGCTTGCTGGGCTCTCTGAACCTGGCTCACCCAGGCCTGCTGTGTGGCAAGGCAAACGCCCTACCGCTGTGCTATCGCCTAGGTACTCTTAATGTTCATAAATCATATGAACTTACTGGTGTTTAAATCAGGGTCAGCTATGTGCAAGGTAAGAGCCACCCTATCTGTACTATCTTTCTGGTTCCTCCCTCTTTATTTATTTACTTTTTAAATGATTAAATAGAAAGAAAAGAAGCAGTAAAAACAGGCCTGTGGAGGGGGGGGTGGTCAGTCTTAGGCATGGCATATACAAGAAGGAGGCCAAGAGCATGCCTGACTAAAGCAGAGGGTCTGAAGGTGGAAAGAAGGCAAAGGGAACACGTGGGTCCTTACAAGCATGAGGTTTTGATTGTGAGACAAAGATGTACTTTACCTGAGGACCCCTTTGATGACTATTAAGCAGCTTCTACCTGCAAGATAAGCCTTTGACTAGTGGCCTATGAAGACTCTGACCTCAAGAGAAATCACTGTGGCAAAACATAGGCCCTTTTTTCCTCTTGTTTGGGTCAGCTGGAGACCAGAGGTGCCAGAGAAGGTGGCTCAGGTGGAGTCCAGGACAGAAATGGGAAGAATCAGACTTAGGCTGGGATCTGCTTCCTCCAAACACTGGCACTCCTCCAAGTAGTCACACAGCTCAGAGAGTTGAGACCAACAGGGAATACATTTCACATTGATGTCAGAAGGAACTACTGACCAGAACTATGCAGGGAGAGAGAGCGAACTTTTCCTCAAAAGAGGGAGCAGTTACTTTGGACCTTAAAGACTAAAGAAGGTATAAAAGAGGTCCTGCTTTCTCATGCTCATTGCAGCATTTCAATAGCCAAGAGAAGAAAACAGCCTAAGTGCTAGATGGATAAAGAAGATATGGTAAGGGCAAGGATGTAGCTTGGTAATAGAACACCTTCCTTGCATGTGTAAGGCTCTAGGTTTGATCTATGGCCCACCAAAAAGGAAAAAAATTAAAAGGAGAGATTGTATACATGTACATACACATGAACATGTATACAACATATGCATATACACAATGGAATACTTTTTAGTCATGAACAAGAAGGAAATACTACCATTTTTAAGAATATGGACAGACCTTACCTGTAGGAAATTTTACTGATATAAACAAATAGAGAAAGATACATACAGCATGGTATCATTTATAAGTGGAATCTACATTCATGAAGAGCCAGAATGATTGTACAGTGGGTAGGGTGCTTGCACTGCACACAGTCAACCTGGGTTTAATCCCTGGCATGCCATATGGTCCCCTGAGAACCTCAGTACTTATACCTGACTGCAGAGCCATGAGTAACCCCTGAGCACAGCTGGCTATGGACCAAAAATTTAGATAGATAGATAGATAGATAGATAGTCAAACTCATAGAAATAAAGTAAAAAGGTGATTGGGCAATGGAGAAAATATGAAGAGGTTCTTACAAATATTCAGGTATAAGATGAATAATGCCTGGGGATCTAATGTAAAATATGGTAACTGTAGTTGATAACATATAATTGAAACTTGCAAGAGAGTAAAACAAAATTTTCCTCACACATAAAAAGATTAAAAAATTGAAATAATGGTCAAGTACTTGATCATTGTATAACTGAAGCCCAAGCACAAAAAATTTTAAGTCTATAACTGTATCTCATGGTGTTTCACTAATAAAAAATATTTTTTAAAAATTGAAATAATAGTATTCCACTTAATTACTTGGAGAGAATCCTTGCACAAAATATTGTTATATGGAATCACTGTGAATATGCTTTCTTACTATTTGATGTGCTAATTACTGTTCAATGATGCTAAAGTTTATTAATAGAAGTGCATGTCAAATTGCAAAAAAATAAAGGACTTGACTAGATGAACTAGGTGGGATAAGGCAGCTGACTGAACCATTTTATTTGTAGTGACCTACAAAGTCTCAAGATAGGAACACTTCATTATGCACTTGAATCTCACCCCCATCTGACCCCCACCCCCAACACTTAGTGAGAATGCTCCTGACTTCCCCTTCTTTGCTCTTCACTGCCTGATTCAGAAGCACCCACCTGCAACCTGGTCTCAGACTGTGCTCTGGCTTCCCAACTATTGACCTTGAGATTTTGGGGGGTGGGAGGGGGAGTTGTGGGAGGACCTACACCCAGCCTGGCAATGCTCAGAGATTGTTCCTGGGTTTTCACTCAGGAATTACTCCTGGCAATGCTCGGGGACCTCATGGATTACTGGGGACTGAACCAGGGTTGACCATGTGCAAGGGAAGAGCCCTACCAGTTATACTATTTTTTCCAGCTCCAACCTCGAGAATATTTAGCTATAGCTATGCATTGCTGCAAATGCCTTTGAGGTGGAGCAAGTGCAGAGGGCTGCAGGTATAGGACGGCCAGGAATAATGGGGTAGCAGTGACTTGCAAAGCACTGTATTTATGGGGGGGGGGGGGCCGGGGGGCGTTGTTACTAACAGAAAGCTCATTTGCTTGGTCTTCAAACCTGTATTCTCTCTTAAACATGTATCTCTCTCTCTCTCTCTCTCTCTCTCTCTCTCTCTCTCTCTCTCTCTCTGCATTTTCCACTCTGGAGAAGTCCATGTTCTCTCACGAACATGTATTCTTCTCTTTCTCTCCCCCACATCTTTTAAAGTAAATTTTGTTGGAGCGATAGCACAGCGGGTAGGGCGTTCGCCTTACAAGCGGTCAACATGGCCGACCCAAGTTCGATTCCTCCACCCCTCTCGGAGAGCCCGGCAAGCTACCGAGAGTATTCGATATGCCAGACACAGTAACAACAAAGTCTCCAATGGAGACGTTACTGGGTCTGCTCGAGCAAATTTTGTTAAAAAAAAAAAAACTACCTCAAAAATACTTTTAAAAACTCTTAACATTTTTTTGCCAAATCTTCAGTTGTTTTGTTTTGGGGGGATCACACCCGGCATCATTACTCAGGCCTTAGTCCTGTATCTACTTTCAGGAATAACTTCTGGTGAGGTCCCAGGACAATATCAGGTGCTAGGGATCAAATCCAGGTCAGACAAATGCCAGGCAAACACCCTACTCACTGTACCATCACTCCAGTCCACAAACCCTAATAGTTTTTGAATGTGCAACTTCCCAAATTTTAAATATTATCAAACCCTTTTTTAAAAAAAAATAAAACACAGGGGAACCATGTAGAAAAAATGTGCTGTCAGCCACAGCCAGCAGTTACAGTTTGAAACCATTATTGTAGGCCCTCCCCCCAACCTCAGTTTCCCCTCTGAGACAGGTCCCAGTCCCAAAAGTGTGCATGGAAGAAGTAATTGAATCCATCCCTTCTGAGCGCTTTCTTTATCTGCCCTCAGGAGGATGTCTCAGGGTTGAGGCATTGTCCCTGCTGCCACCACTACCCACTTCTCTGCCTGCCACCTAGGGCCCAGCTCATACCTGATGTTCTCATTGGGCACTTTCCCGGATCTCTTGATGGCTGAACACTCATTCTTGTGATTCAACCAGGCATCTTTCTGGCAGGTGCGGTCACAGTAATGGGCAAACTTGCACTGCCCGCAGCGATGGAGCTTCTCTTGTCGCTTGAAGCATGTGTGGCACACAACATTAACGAGACTGCAAGTGGAGGGATGAAATATGTCAGGGGACACATGGGAAGGTGATGGGGATCATCAGTGTTCACTGGCTCTGTGAACCAGGCTGTCTTTCTCAGGTTTGGCCTTCCCAAGGTGTCTTCCAGCTGGAAAGTTCCCTCTTGTAAACTTTTTTAACTGAAGCCAACATAGGAGACACTACTGGATTCTGTATACACATATGTATTTCCTTTAATTTAATGTGATTATAGATTTATGAACTGTATGTGTAATGACTGATGGGTGACACATTTCACATCAGCATCAGAAGGAGCTACTGACCTGAAACTGTGCAGAAGAAGAGAGTGAACTCCTCCTCACAGAAGGGAGCACTTCCTTTGGGTCTCAAAGACTAAGGAAGGCATCAAAGCAGTATCTACTTTCTCACACTCATTGTACCATTTACAACAGCTGAAATATGGAAACAACCTAATGCTGGGTGGATAAATATATGAGGTGTGGTCACTATTGCCCTGAGAACAGCTGAACTTCTCATCATCATGAAGTGATGGGTAGTGCAGGGTAAACCTGAGACACTTTAGAGAAGACCCTTGAGGAACTTGGGGCTGGGGGAGTCCTCTAGGCCTTTATTTCTCAAACTTTTTCCAGACTTTGCTCCTTTCTGATCTTGTTTCCTTCCTGTGGTCCTGTCTTACAGGCTGGTCTCTAGTCTCATACCATAGCTTCATATTTATGCAATTTTTACCTGTGGCCCTTTAGAATATCTTGGGGGTCCACAGAAGGGCCGTGTGGGCCCCAGTTAAAAGCAGTGTTCTAGGTCTAGGTCTCTGTTTGCCAAAGGTCACAGGTCAGGGGTCCCATGGTGTAGGAAGGCCATTCTTTACATCATGTCCTTATCATTATTGAAACATATAGTTCTCTTCCCCAAAGACCAAAGTACAGTGACTCTATGATGCAACATAAAATATGTCACATTTTACACAAAATCAGTCTACATGTTATGATAAATGTCTTTGTTCTGTGTTTTGCAACAGTAAATATTACACAATGCCTTTCTATAATGATGTGCTGATCTGCTCTCCTGACTCAGAGAAAAAGTGCAAGTGATGACAGTGGGGGTGGATAATGAATCCATGTCCATTTGATGAGTGAGGTAGAGGTGCAGAAAGATGAAATTTATGCCCCTTTTCATCCAGACTCCCTGTACACCTATGTCTCCCCATGCTAAACCCATCACTCAAACAAAAATGCAAAGTTTACCATGAAGTATTTCAAGACAGAGCCGAACACCCAGAGTGATTGAAGTAAGAAACAGCAAACCTGGCCACAGGGTCTCTGAGAAATGATGGAAAAAAGAGGAATATGCAAGTAAGCTCCAAAAGTTCTTCCTTTTCCTGAGATCACATGTCCTTCTCTCCTGGAAGGGAGCATAACATGACACTCGCCATAACCAATCCACCAAGACCCCACGCCAGGCTGTTTCACTAGGGGCGCCCCAGAGGGGAGCGGGTGAGACCCCTCCCTACCCCAAGGAAACTGAAAATCTCCAGAATTCAACCACCACCATGCTCATGGTCGCTCTCCACACGCTCAGGCAGAGCCTCATCTATAAGTGAACCTATTCCTGAACCATGTGGCCATGGCCACACAACACTTCATAGGACGCATGCTACCCCAACTCCCAAGAGTACTGCACTACATTTGATAGGATTCAAAGTAGGAGGTAACCAATCTAAGAGGGACATACTTTTTTTACAGATATATATATATATATATGCATATATATATATATATATATATGAAAGCACAAGGCTTAACCTTTAACAACATGGTAGTGATCTCTTATAGAAGGGCTTAATGGCCCCTGGGTGAAATACAACAATCTTCACACTCTTTCCTTTAAGGATACATTTTGTAGCATTTTCAGCATTTTCATAACAAACCATACAAAAGATATTATTTCAGTTCCTCTGTGGGGCAGGGATTGGGGTTAGGGATGGAAATATCCAAAACATGGTGGTGGGAAGGTATAATGGTGGTGGGATTGGTGTTTGAATATTAAATGTAATCAAATATTGTGAACTACTTTATAAAATAAAAAAAGTTCTTTCTTTTCCCCTGGGGAAAGAAAAATATAAAATCTCAAATATGAGCTTTAAATTTGTTTGTTTGGGAATTTTAAGAGTCACAACCCAAGGCTCTCAGAGGATATTCCCTGCTGCACTCTGAGTCTCGTCCAGCAGTACTTCAAGTACTAAGCAGTGCTAAGGGATTGAACCTGGGTTCTCCTGCCTCCAACCTGTTGAGCTTCCCCTTCAGCTCTGGAGCTAACAATCTAAACAGGGGCCTCAAAACTACAAAGGAACAGGGGCTTTTAGAGTCAGAATTTGAGAATCTGAAGGAAGATTTTTTTTTATTAAACAATAAGCTCAGAAACCATTGGATCTGCTCCTGACCATACACTTTCTAGTTCCCATCATCAAAAATGCCCACTGCTTCTGAGAGCATGTATCCCATCACTGGTCAATCCCAGTTGAAGCTGACTCATGTTAAGCTTGACCTTGTCTTTCTTAGAAAAACACTCCTATAACCTAATTTGATCCTCTGGATCCTCGTCCAATGAAACAGGCCTAGCCAAGTTAGTTTTTCAAGACTTTGAAGACCACTATCATCCTTCTCCTTCACTTTCCTTCTCCAAGCTAAATGCTCCCAGCCCCTTCAATCTTTCCTTGCACCACATCATTTCTAGAAATCTCACACCTTTCTGGTGACTTCTGATGTCAAAGGAAGTTTTAGGCAATGAAAGGAAGGTAGGTATAAAGGGACAGTCAAGTGAGATCCAGTGACCTAAGCTAGAAGTCAGTGACAAGATCCCCCAGGTTAATTCCTGTGGTGTCAGGATGGTGGCTGGAGATGGGAAGACAGTCAAGCTGAGGGTTCTACCTGGGCTGCTACTGTAAGCTTGAACTTGGCTCCCTGGAACCCAGGCAATTTTCAACCTCCAAGTGACCAACTCAACACAATTCTCTGTTCCCATTGGCAGAGAAGTGCAATGTTGATAATTTGTTAATATCGTGAAGGGTTCTTGAACGCTTTATGATTATTATCTTAAGGGGGTTCAATTGAGCACCTAAATATATAGTGCTGCTTCACAAAAGGAGAGAGAGAACAAAAGGGAATGCCCTGCCACAGAGGCAGGGTGGGATGGGGGGATGGGGGGGTGGGAGGGACACCAGGATTAATGGTGGTGGAGAATGGGCACTGGTGGAGGGATGGGTACTCGATCATTGTATAACTGAACCCAAGCACAAAAATTTGTAAGTCTACAACTGTACCTAATAAAAATTAAAAATAATAAAAAACTAATAATAATTTTAAAAATGATACAACTGAAAATATACATATATATATATATATGCTCGAGCGGGCCCAGTAACGTCTCCATTGGAGACTTTGTTGTTACTGTGTCTGGCATATCGAATACTCTCGGTAGCTTGCCGGGCTCTCCGAGAGGGGCGGAGGAATCGAACTTGGGTCGGCCATGTTGGCTGCGTGCAAGGCAGACGCCCTACCCGCTGTGCTAGAGAGAGAGAGAGAGAGAGAGAGAGAGAGAGAGAGTGCTGCTTGGGTCCTGTACTGCCTGGGATTACTGGATAACCTTGGCAGTGTTCAGGAGCCTCAAAACCTGTATGTTGTGGTTCTCAGGGGACAATATGGTGCCAGGAAACGAACCAAAGTGAGCCACATGCAAGGCAAATGCCTTAACCCCTGTACTATCTCTCTGACCCCTTCATGATATTAACAAATTATCAACACTGCACTTCTCTGCCAATGGAAACAGAGAATTGTGTTGAGCTGGTCACTTGGAGGTTGAAAATTGCCTGGGTTCCAGGGACCCAAGTTCAAGCTTACAGTAGTAGATTTGTGTATAAATTAGAGCAGATTCAAAGTTATTCTCATAGGAGCTGGAGCAATAGCACAATGGATAGGGCGTTTGCCTTGCACGCGGCCAACCTGGGTTCGATTCCCAGCATCCCATATGGTCCTGTGAGCACCGCCAGGGGTAATTCCTGAGTGCAGTGAGTGCAGAGCCAGGAGTAACCCCTGAGCATCTCCAGGTGTGACCCCCCCTCCAAAAAAAGCAAAGTAATACTCATAATAATGACTTCTTCACTTCCTTGCTTTCTCTTGAGATTTCCCAATGAGTCAAGTAGGATTGCACCAGCATACACAACACTGCACAGAGCCCCATCCGGTCATTACTATGCCACAGAAAACATGCCCTGCTGAGAAGGTCATGGCTTAGCCGAACAGAATGCACAGGGGATCCTGACCATTTAGCGGAACTGCCAATCCCCTGGAGATGGGGAGCTATAAATCTCTCACATTTGTCACAAGTGGGGATTGCACACTCTACCAGGGATTTCACTGAATGTGATTAAAGAACCCAAGTCATAAGGATCCCACTAAGGCTCCAAATCTGTCTTTTGACCAGTCTAAAGTGGTACCCTTGGTCACCACACTTTAAAAAATACGGTGCCCAGGCTAGAGTATAATATTTAAGTATACTGCTGTACATGATTCCTGGATCTAGACATCATGAATCAATTAACTTTTTTAACAAAAAAAATCACATTTATTTAAGGCCAAATTGCAAGCTTAGTTGCAATAACTTCAAAACTTTTGCAAAGGTATTGCTATAAGCATGTCAGAGTTTCCCTTCATTTGTCCACATGGCTTTGTATTTAAAAATAAATTTATTGAGGTGTAATTGACATGCATTAAAGGCTTCACCTATTTAAAATGTTTCATCTAGGGACCGGAGTGATAGTGGGGTAGGGTGTTTGCCACGCACACAGCTGACGTGTTCTTGATCCCCAGCATCCCATATAGTCCCCTGAGCATCACCAGGAGTAATTCCTGAGTGCAGAGCCAGGAGTAACCCCTGTGCATTGCCAGGTGTAACCAAAAAAGCATAAATAAATAAATAAATAAATAAAATGATTCATTTAATAGACTCTT